GATCACCAAGACAGCATGGTACTGGCACAAAAACAGACACATAGACCAGTGGAACAGAGTAGAGAGTCCAGATATGGACTCACAACTCTATGGCCAACTAATCTTTGACAGAGCAGGAAAAAATATTCAGTGGAAAAAAGACAGTCTCTTCAATAAATGGTGCTGGGAAAATTGGACAGCTATATGTAGAAGAATGAAACTCGACCATTCTCTTACACCATACACAGAGATGAACTTGAAATGGATAGAATAATTTCAGAAGAATACACTTTGAATGATGTCAGTGAATCCAAGGAAAGGATAAAATGTATCTTTTCTCTCTTGGAGGATTATATACTCATTGAAAATTTTGTTTACATTTGCCTTACTTTGAAGCTACTTTGTGTGGGGGGGATGTACCTCTGCGTGTGTGTGTGTGTGTGTGTGTGTGTGTGTGTGTGTGTGTGTGTTAGAACACGTTAATTCTATTAAGAACCTAATTAGCCTTTTGGGTTATTTTTGATGGTGATTATTTCCAAAATGGAAAATTTGGAAAGAAAGACAAATTTTGTGATGATGACCTTATCACTAAATGTAAATGTTAGTAGACCTACACAATAATGTGTTTAATAAACAAGTTATATATTAAATAAAAATTACTGCGTTTGTTATAGCAGTGCTTTGTAATATAAGATCTCTGAATCCTGGCTTCTATAAGGTTTTGAATAATAATTTATCAATGACAAAACTATAATGACTACAGAAAAGGCATACTCTTTTCCTCCTATCTAAAAGCATAGTAGTTTTACATAATTTTCTTAAATTTGGCCACATAAATTGGTAACACAAAAACACTGTATTGTCAGACAAACCTGAATCTGAATCCTAGTTTATCCCTGACTTATTGTTTCCTGAGGTCAAATGGCTACATCTGCCTGATTCTTGGGTTTTTCAGATGTACAATAGAAATCAATAATATCTACCTTAAACATCTTTTATGAGATTCAAATAAGAATATTTAGCTCATTTCCTGGTAGTTAGAATTATAGTTAATTATTAGCTAATAAAATTCATATATTGGGCGCCTGGGTGGCTCAGTGGGTTAAACCGCTGCCTTCGGCTCAGGTCTCGGGGTCCTGGTAACGAGTCCTGCGTCGGGCTCTCCGCTCAACAGGGAGCCTGCTTCCCCCCTCTCTCTCCCTGCATGCCTCTCTGCCTACTTGTGAGCTCTCTCTGTCAAATAAATAAATAAAATCTTTAAAAAAATAAAATAAAATAAAATTCCTATATTTGGCATAGAAGCTAATCGATCATTTTTAATTCTGTATAGGAAACTATTCATTAACGCTTTTTAGATATTGCACTTAGTTTTGATAATTTTATTCTCTAAAACATGTAAGAAAAATAAAAGTGTGGTTTTGAACCTAGAAAATATGCAGGTAAGAGTATGTTAATTTTATGCAATTGCTGTAATTTTTCTGAGAAATTTCAGGAGAGGATTTTAAGAATTCTTCTAGATATCTAATGTGAATGAAAAAGGAGAAAAATTTATCAATTAAATCAGAAGAAACAACAGTAGCATATGAGAAAAAATGTTTGGGTGTTACTTAGGAACTCATTCCTAAGGGCAGCTTTCTGTTTAGTATGGTTATATATCTACCTTCCTGAAACTGGCTGCTATATTAACAAATAATTTGATAAGAGCCTCTTCTGATCTGAAGAGGTCAAATTAGCTAATTTTCTGACAGTAAGTCTAAAAGAGTTTAGATGTTACATTAATATGAATATGAGTGTTACATTAATAACCTTCCTGGGTATTTTCCTGGTATTCCTATGGGGTGGGGCATGTGCGTATGTGTGTGTGATATTATCTAGCATCTACTACATACATGTGTGTATACACACACTATATGTATTTTTTTAGAGATATATGTATAAATACTACATATAAGTTTATATAAGTTACATAATCATATACCATAGTGTCTCAGAGAGAGAAAATACAAGGCTATATAAGACTAGTTTATCCATTCCATGAAGAAATAATAATCTGTACCTATGTAGGAAGCTGGTTTTCTATTCAATTGCAACTATTTTATTCTTGGAAAAACAGTCTAAGAAGATGGTATGTAACCAAAGATTGAGTATCACAGATTATGTGTTTCTAAATATTTATTAGTATCTGATGTTCACAAGATGCAAAGGGAAATACCATTCTCTTTCTCATGAGAGAAATTTATAATATGGTAAAAATATTACATCTGCATTTGAACATTTGAGTGCATTTTGCTTTATAATCTACCTATTCTGATTAATTGGCAAAAAAAATATTAAAAATTTAAATCCTAAGCAGGTTATCCAATTTCAATGTCTATTGACTCAATGAAAATTATGTTGGCCAGACATCCTCTCCATACTCTATTACCTACTCAAAAGATCCACTTAAGTACTACTCATTCCTTAACTATAAGAAGACTGGGTAGAAAACGCAAACTAATTGATTATTTTAGCTAAGTCTATGAAAAATAATCAATCATTTTGCCCAAACACGTTCTTTCAGTAAGACAGAATATAATGGGGGGCGCCTGGGTGGCTCAGTGGTTAAAGCCTCTGCCTTCGGCTCAGGTCATGATCTCAGGGTCCTGGGATCGAGTCCCGCATCGGGCTCTCTGCTCAGCAGGGAGCCTGCCTCCTCCTCCTCCTCTCTCTCTCTCTGCCTGCCTCTCTGCCTACTTGTGATCTGTCAAAAAAAAAAAAAAAAAAAAATCTTTAAAAAAAAAAAAAAGACAGAATATAATGGTTTCTATAATAAAATTTGTATAAACAGCTTAGTAATTATGATTAAGCATTGATTTTAATATCCCTTCAATTGAAATTTTTTAAAAAGCACTTTAAAAAAGCATTGTCCATCCCAGAGATAGAATTGAACAATTATATGTCAATAGAGATGTCTAGAACACCAGGCATATTTTCTCATGAAATACAGGAGAACGTTCCACATAGTCCTATCAGAGGCATGAGCCCCATTGTATAAGATTGTGATACACTGTTCCTTCAAATATTTATTTAACATTTTTATATGAAAGGAGACTTGAACAAAATGTCTCCTTATAGAGAAATGTTAAAGGAAAACTAATATAAAATGTGTGGTAGGTAACTGTGTGTCTCCCACACATTTTCTAAGTAATCATAATCAAATAGTGATTTAATCCTTATAGGAATTTTATGAAGAAAGCATTTATTATCTCTGTTAGATCTTTTATGATATGCCTACAGGTTCAGAAGAAAAAGTGCTGGAACCTGGATTTGAGCCCAAAAATTTTTTATAATAAGTCAGGTCTTTTTTATCTCATATGCTGCATTTAATTCATCAACCTTCTAAAGCAACTACAAGTTTGAAGAAATGAAGAATCTGAAAACATCATGGAATTTGGCTCAAAGGAGTTCAGCGATGACATTCAAGATTAACACCTTCTAGGGGCACCTGGTTGGCTCAGTGGGTTAAGGCCTCTGCCTTCAGCTCAGATCATGATCTCAGGGCCCTGGGATCGAGCCCTGCATCCGGGCTCTCTGCTCAGCGGGGAGCCTGCTTCCTCCTCTCTCTCTGCCTGCCTCTCTGCTTACTTGTGATCTGTCTGTCAAATAAATAAATAAAATCTTAAAAAAAAAAAAAAGATTAACACCTTCTAAAGAGAATGGAAATGGGAAATGGAATTGTATACTGATTACTGTAATAAAATCCAGGAAACCAATGATTGTGAAATTAAAGGGAACAACAATTGGGAAATGAAGACCCTACAGGAAATGAGAAGAGTTGTTCCTTTTCAGGGTCTTGCCTCCAGTTCAGGGTAAACTCTCAATAATAGTTGGGGATGGGAGGAGGTAAGGAGAAGGATGGATATGAATGTCATAGAAAACATTACCATATTATCTATCTAGACAATTGTCACTATCTTTCATTACTTGTCCAAAAATATAGCTTATACCACTTCAAATAATTTCACTTTTATTCTTTTTTGAAGATTTTATCTTTCATTATTTATTGAAATTTCTCACTCTATATACTTCCATTATTTTATAAAATTGTATTTGTATCCCAATGATGCAATTTTTATACAGTAGGAAATAAAATACAAGCACTTCAATGAGAAAATTTGCTTTTAAAATCTCTGATTTAGCTGAAGTACCTTAAAAAAAGTCTTTTACTACTGGATAACTTTCTATTGACAATATATGCATTGAAAAACTCAGGATATTATTTTTTGAAACTAAATTTATTGAAATGTATGCTCATTAAATTTTCATAAGAATATCTCCATAAATAAAAGGAACTGTGACAATTTAGATTCATAACAAAAGTCTACCACATTATTTACTAAGCTGTTTCTATGTTTAATACCTAAATTTTGAGTCAAGCAATTTGTAGATGGTCTAATAAATATTAATAACTCATGTAGGTAAAATATATGATAAAATTATCTGATTTTAATAAGACATGAGTATCTTATGTAGATTATTTCCCTTTCATAATATCTAAAATATTTAAACTTTCCTTAAATGGACATGAAACTAATCAGATAAATATACTGATACACTTTTTACAATACTCTTCTCATAGTATGACTTATTTCAAAATATTTTCACATAAAACTTCCTTCCCATGAAAAGTTTTCTCACTGCTCACAGTACTTAATCTTTAAAACATTAAATGGATTTTTTATTTTTTACTTTAAATATCAGTCTTCTTCAGTCTTCCTTAGTCTAAGTTACATGAACATGACATGAAAAAGGAGAAATCCTTGAATTTCACTCAGAATTAACCAGTTACTCACTTAGGCTATTTTGAACAATAAATAATAAAAGGTTATGGTAACAAAGTCTAAGATTTGATTTACTTTGGAGTGGCTGGACACCTTTTATCATAAAACTTCAGCAACACTGACAAAACCAAAGATTTTGCAAACACTGTGAAGTATTACCATAGGTAGAAGTCAGTAGAATTTTTATATGGTTTTTAATACCTTGTTGCTTCCGTGGATCATAAATCTGCAGCCCAAATAGGGGTGGTCTTTCACGCCTCAATAATGTCACCTCATTTGTTACCAAATCTAGCTGAAAAATGGAACCATTCATATAATCAGTCCAGAACACATAATTCCCATGATGCGAGAGTCCGAAAGGATGGTTCAACTCTTTCCCACTGTAAACAACCTGTAAAATATAAACACATTGTGAAAAATCAGAACTGACCTTTAAAAACGTAACTAAACTTTTAGAGCAAAGGATAGTCAAATAAGTATAACAGATAATGATCTAACTAATAACTAAATCCATTTGAAAAATGCATTTCACAATGTGAGCTCATTTTCCTGTTTTTAGGACATGGTATTTGAAGAAGATCAGTTGTATTTCATCCATTTAATTCCCTTCATATATGACATTATTCATATGGTCAAGAAATGTAAACATTAAAATGACTTTACTTGACACGCTTTCCTGCTCTTTTCCTTATGATATTCCAGTATCATAACCTGGAATGGAAATTGATCTGAGCAATTAGTGTATTGTGATATTGTGTATTGTGATATCACTTATCCAACAGCCAAGGAATAAAAAAAACATTGTCTTAGAACATTGGGAGTGAAAGGGATTCTCCTACTTAATTGCGCCAAAGCAAACTGAAGAAATCTAGGAAATGATTAGGAGGGAGGTGAAGTTTTTAATTTTGAACATAAAAACATTTATTAGTAGTAAGTAGACAAACAAGACTCACTGGCTCATTTCAATTCTGGTTTTCTTAGTATATTCTTTACATTCTAGTTGTATTTTGTTTTTGTTTAACTAGAGCAATCATATGATAAGTGCTGTTTGACACAGAGGCTTGTAGAAGAGGAGTAAGAAATCACACCTCCAATAATACCTTTTCACTGTTCACCATTTATAAAATGATATTGTATACAACATGAAAAAGCATTTTGTACACACTCCACTTAATATTAAAGAATTGAAGAAGTTATCTAATGGGGGTTAAAAATTCAATTTTTGCTCCTATTATCTGAATTTTTCATACCACATATTCATATACTGAATAATTAAGTTTTTTACCTTATTTTCTCACTTCCATGAAGGCTAAAATATGCTAGCCATTATAATTCTGTCCATGTGGTGTACATACCAATATCTTTAGAGGAATCATACATATTTATCTAGCACCTATTAAGTATGTGACATTAAGTTAAATGCCAATCAATTTTACTATTTGGGGAAAAATACTAAAAGCAAGGTTAGAGTCAACAAATGACTAAAGCAGTCTTAATTGATTACTGTACTGTTTATCTCCCAAACAGAATTCATAATGAGTAGGCTTGGCCAACTGTGCAGTCTTTCTCTCCAAAAAGAGAGCATTTTGATCAATGGAAGCATTTTGATTATTTCTAACATTCCATTTCTTATCATTTAACTAAAGAGTTAAAGTCAGTTCATAGTGTTATATGCACTCAGGTTATTATAAGATAAGATAGAGATGTGTTGTTTTGTCAACACTGCCCTTTTTGGCACCCAGTCAACTCCATCCTCCGATTTACCCAAGAATTTCAAAATCATTTTGCAATGATCCTACCAAAAGAGGCAAGAAGAAGTTGATATTTATTCATAGCAATAGGCTTGAAGTCCAGTTCATTTTGTGTTTCAACTCCACTGCCATGAAGTTCTTTATTTAAATAAATGTACTATAATTACTTTTTCATAATATAGAGGTTAAATTTCACCTGCAAATATTAAAGATACTTGAATAGTGTTGGGTTGCTTGGTCATAGAAAACTCATAAATAATTGAGAAAAACTGCATTTTAAAACAGCTCTGATATTCTGAGAGCTTCTTTTTAAAATCCCACAAATCCTGGCATACCACAGTGAGCCAGTCCTGGTCTCCGGGAGGCAAGTGCCAGCTGCACTACTTAATGCTCAGCCTCCTTTAGCCACCCCACAGAGACTACTGGCAGCCACCTCAGAGGGGTAAAAATAAACTTGAAAGTATTTTTAACACAACACAACAAGGCTCTGTGAAGAAGAAGCCTGTGAGTTAAAAAAAAAAAAAAAAAAAAGCAGTATTTTTCTTTTACCTTCCTGTGAGTTCCATTCAAAAACACTTTTTCAATATGATCATAATAGGCATCACACCAGTATAATGTGTTGGTGTGAAAGTCCAGAGTTAAACCGTTTGGCCACAGCATCTTTGAAGTCACAAAAATCTGCCGATTGAAGCCATCCATCCAGGCCTTCTCGATCCTTCCCACGCTGTCATCTATTTCATCTTCCTCCCAGTCTGTCCAATACATCCAACTAAGACATTACAAACAAGAGTGCACACATGTTATTGCAAACAGCCGCCATACAGAGGGATGCTTCTCTAGATTGGGCACTGCCCTAAAATCGAATTACATTCTGATTTCTCCTCCTATCTAAATGCTCATCTGCCAAAACGAGGGGGCATCTGTGGAGTCCTCGGGGAAGTACCGATGTGTTTGTGAAGCCACATTCAGACACATCACAGAAAACCCACTACCGCACTCACTGGTCCCATTTGCTATTTAGCCTAACACAAAGTGCCAAATACTGATTTTCTTTGGTGCTGATACCAAGCTTGGAAAATGATTTTCAAAGCATTCCTATTTTTAGATGTTGTCCACTTCAGAAAACATATAATCAATTATGTGCTTCTGAGAACACATGGTGCCGTTAACAATCTACTCCAGGCTTTATTTAATCTCAATTGAATTATTATTTTCTAAGACAGGCAACTGGATTGTCTTTGTACTAAAGGGTATGGTCATACTGGGTTTATTTGGCCAAGTCTAATTTGTCTTCCTCATTCAAATTATCTCTGCTTTATTGCTGCTTATTATTACCTCAAAACCCACAGAAGATGATTTAGCGGCACGTAAGTTTAATAACATCGGGTTGACTGACCTTGAGATTTTGAGGTTTAATTTCTATCTCAAACAAAAGCTTCTGCCTTTAAAAACAAGTCTTTTGTGTAAGCTATAACAGTGGGAAAGGGGGCCTTGAGCTAATGTTCTAATTCCCTCATGAATAAGGTTAAAACCCTCCACAAGTGTTGCTCCAGGGTCATGTGAAAGTTCTGGAGTTATTAATTAAAGTGTAGGTTTTAATTCAGTCACCTCATCTACAACTTTATAAAGTTCTAAAGCTTTTCTAAGCTGCTGACCCTAAAAGTGCCCTTAGTAGTTCCTCTGCCTCCCACATTTTGTGGACTCTAAAGAATTTCTGAGGTACTTTGGGAAAAATCAGTTTCCCTGACTAAAAAATCCTACTGTGATCTAATCAGAAAGATTTGGAACAACTGAGGATGTAATGCACCATTCACTATTTTATACCAGTTAAGCTTTTTAAAAATTCCCTTAACAGTTTAAAATTATGTTGCTATGTCTTTTTAGACCTAAGGAAATATATTGAGATTGGTGAACTTTATTAAGTAAAAATACATTCTAATCCTAGAAATAAACATGAAAATATGTTTATCTTGCATCCAGGATGTACTTCAAGTGGTCTTATGATTGGAACAAATTAGGAGCAAACAGGACAGTCATTCCATTTGCTCTAATCCTATGTTTATTGGATATAACTAGTTGACTTCTACTATATAAATCAACTATGTAAAAGAGAAATATACAACTTTTATCTTTATTAATACTGCATGAAATATTAAATATGGTTAGTCAATGCAGTTTTATTGTTGTTGCTAATTTACAACTTGTTAAAATTGCAATTATCTTCCCCTGTAGGTTTCGTCTCTCTTTTTTTTTTCCTTTGATTCTCCAACCCAAATTGCATATACACGCAGACACATACATGAGGGGTAATTCTGGTGAATTTAAGCATAATTTATATTGCTTTGGTATTTAGAAACCATTGATCTGATCCATTATCTAAGATTATTTTTATTCAAACAGAATATAAGAAAAAATTTAAACAAGGGTGCTAATCTAACCAAGGCTAGGTATGTGATCATCATCTATCAACTTCATTATGTGATGAAAAGTTATATTGTGTAAGCCTTATAATCAGTATGAAATGTGGTGATTCCTAAACATAGAAAATAGGAAATATAACCTATAAAGTAAGCAGAAACTAATATAAATCTTTTTATATGTGGAACTCAGGTATTCATTAAATAAATATTAGGTTAAGTAAGCCTTCTGCTAATATGGAAAGAAAAACTGCTCCTCTATTTTTCAAGTCCTGTTCAAATACAATTATTTGATGAAGTCTATTTCTACCCTTTCTGTGAAAATAAGGTCTTTCCTTTGTTTCTTAGTGACATTTCTTTTTAGTTTTTAAAATAATGTTTATTGCATTTATGCCTTATGTGATATTTAATGGTGTTACATGTCTGATGGTTTTGATTAAAAATTAAAATAATTAATGGCAGGGATTATTCCTTATTTGTATTTATACCCTATAACACTAAGGTTGCATTTGTTGATATTGATCATATCCCCAATTAAATTATATTATATTATATTATGTGGTCGCCTAGACATATTTAAATCATTAAGCACTTCTTGCCATGGAAAAAGACATAAACTTTACTGTTAAAAAAAAATCAATTTAGTGCTACCATAATAGCTACCTTTAACTAGAGGGTATGGCACTATTAATTGAGATAGGGATACCAGAGATCATGTTTGAGGGGAAATATGCCCTTAGCTTTGGACGTACTTACTAAAGGTAATGTTTTGAGAAGTCAGAACTGGAGACGCAGGTTTCTAAGTTACCGATATAAATTGTGAAGTGTGAAATTACTGGAGAGGTGGGAATTCATCTGTAGCTATCAGTTTGAGAAACAGTGCCATCATGACCAATTCTTCCTCCAGCTTTATCCCCATTTCTACAACTGTTGAGGCCTGACAATTCCATTCTTTCAGTGTCTCTTTACCCAATCCCCACTTTGCTATTTCTATTATAAATGCTGTACTCTGTATCCCGTTTCAAAGGGAACTTCTAATAGGTTGTTCCCATACAACCATCATATTTCTATTACTTGTCTTCCTAAATCATGAATTGAAAAATGTGACTTTTATTCTCAAATGACCTTCCAATTACTCTGCTGTCAGAAGAAAAAAAAAATCCCATCTTTTAACCCCAACATTGAAGATTTCTGCATATTTCTAGTTTCATCTCCTACTATGTTCCTTCACATGCCCTCTCCCCTAACCTGAGTGAACTCATCTCATCTCAAAACTGCCATTAACATCCCTGCCTCTAAATACATACTGAAAATGTCCTGTCAGAGTACAGTGACTAACCTTATGACTGCACATCCTAAGCCCCTAAGACCAAATCTACTCATGGGAAATCCTATTCATTCTCTGAAGCTCAATTCTGAATTGAAAACCTCAATGATTTTTTGAAGAGCATTATTTCATTCTACTTTATTTTGTAGGTGATTTTTGTGTGCACATGTGTGTACACCAAGCACACCAGGTTATAAACTCCTTGAGGGCAATTACTGTCTTACTGATTTCTATTGCTCTATATGGTAGTTAATCAAATATATTTTAATGAAGAAATAAATGAACAAATTCTTTACTGATTCTGTCATTGTTTATGAAACTTTGGATAAAGCTTAGCTCTGAAATGAGTAATTTTTTTAATTGGCTATTATAGTAGGAAAACCCTGTAATTCTTTCCTCTTGTGTACAGTTATAAATAGGTATTATCATAGGAAAAAATGTAAATAAATCAAGTTTCTCATTTTTAATGATCTGTGAAGTCATATTGTGCCTATTTTAAGTGGACTTTCCAAGGTAAAGTTTTGTCTTCTTTTTTAAAAATTATATTATGGTCAAACAATTATTTGGACAATTAAATTCACACAATTCTACTGTTATTTTCCAATCCATTCTCCATAGAACAGTCAGATTAGATTTTTTTAAATATATATTTAATTCTCACTTCCCTATTCCACACTTGCACTGAAGACAAAGTACAAAGCTCTCATCCAGGCAGACAAGATCCTGCTTTCTTTCCAAACACATCTTTATCGCTTCTTCCCTTGCTATCAATAGTTCAGCTCCGCTGTCCTCATCTCAATTCCTCTGATAGTCAAGCTTTTACCCAACTTAAGATCTTCAAATGTACCATTTTCTTGATCTGAAATACTCTTTTCCTCACTGTCCATTGATGATTCATTTCCTATAGATACTGAAGTCTTGATTTAAAATATGCCTCCTTATAGAGGCCTTTCTGCAAACCTACTGAAATCGCTCTACCTGTTAGTCTCCATTATGTCATCCTGTTTGTTCTCTTCCTGCATTCTGGTCTGTAGAAATTACATTAGATGCTTATATGGTACTTATTTCTTGCTCTATTTGCCTATCCCCCACCTTGCAGATAGCAGAAGATGCTTCACAAGGTTTAAGGCTATGCCTGTTAACTATATACCTAGAGCAAAATTCTGGGAATAGTATATTGCTAGGGGGGGAAAATGTATATATATGCAAATATATATGCATTATATACATACATACACACATATGTGTTTTTCAGGTTGATGCACAATAGAAAATAGGAGATGTCTAATGCAAAAGGTATAAGAGTCATTCTTTGTAACACCAGAGGCAAATATAGGGTCAGCTAGCAGATATTACAGAGATGCAGATATTGCCTTAATAAAAAGAAAAAAAAAAAGTCAACTGGAATTGCCCCCAAATACTATAAACTATGTAGATGTTATAGGTTTTCAAATCCAAGTTGGATGTCTGCCTATTAGGAAACTGTTGAAGGGGATTCTTGAATTTGAATAGAAAGATGGGACTAGTGGCCTCTAAATTCCTTTCTAAATCACATGATTCTATGACCTCCATATTTGCGTTATCTGTGTGAGCACCACAAATACTCTTTAACTCTATAACAAAATATTTCTCTAACAGAATACTGAGTAGGAAGATGCTGTTTTTTTTTTAATTTAATTTTTTTTTATTTTCAGCATAACAGTATTCCTTGTTTTTGCACCACATCCAGTGCTCCATGCAATCCGTGCCCTCTCTAATACCCACCACCTGGTTCCCCAACCTCCCACCCCCGGCCCCTTCAAACCTCTCAGATTGTTTTTCAGAGTCCATAGTCTCTCATGGTTCACCTCCCCTTCCAATTTCCCCCAACTCCCTTCTCCTCTCTAACTCTCCTTGTCCTCCATGCTATTTGTTATGCTCCACAAATAAGTGAAACCATATGATAGTTGACTCTCTCTGCTTGACTTATTTCACTCAGCATAATCTCTTCCAGTCCTATCCATGTTGCTACAAAAGTTGGGTATTCATCCTTTCTGATGGAGGCATAATACTCCATAGTGTATATGGACCACATCTTCCTTATCCATTCGTCCGTTGAAGGGCATCTTGGTTCTTTCCACAGTTTGGCGACCGTGGCCATTGCTGCTATAAACATTGGGGTACAAATGGCCCTTCTTTTCATTACATCTGTATCTTTGGGGTAAATACCCAGTAGTGCAATTGCAGGGTCATAGGGAAGATGCTGTTTTAAGATATCTTGCTTCAAGTAGATTTAGACAGTATGTAATAAATAGTTTCTCTTAAAATTAAGATTGCCTTGATTTAAAGGTCAAATAGATGAGTTGGCTTAAAAGTTCAGGAATAGGACAGATAATTATAGAATCCACACATAAAATCACTGGAATTACTTTATAATTATGTCTTATAAAAACACATACAGTGGTATAATCCACTGCTTAAATGTCAGCCTAGGAAGAAGTACCTTAATTGTATTTGTTTGGAGCTATTCTCAACACAAACAATTCTAGGAACTACAATCTGGTGATCTCAGTTTATTAGGGAGCCACAGTTTTCCTCTGCAATTGAGTATTTTTCTATGTGTGTAGTAAGGAATACAGAATATTTGTTTTATTATGCTATTTTGAAACAGTGTGATGAAGAGATGAGAGGGATAAACATCACATATAACAATTGTACACTTAGAATATGTAATTAATTCATTTACTTCTGACATTCTGTTAGGAATGTTCACATTCTTCAATATTTCTAGATATATGGTATTATTTGTATTCAGGTAATATCTCTGAATAAAAATCAAAGGAAAATATATTCCTGAGAATTTCACAAACTATTCCATCCTAAAACAAGTAGCACATAGTACAGAATGATTTCGCTATAAGAAAACTGTGGTTATGTCTAGAATTATGTGATTACTAACCTTGACTAGTAAAAAGTAGTGGAATATAGTGACTCTGAGTAAATTCTTGGAGACAGACTGATGGTTTAAATATCTACTTGGTCACTTAATAATTTAATGGTCTTTTGTAAATCAGTTATCAACTTATTCTTTGTAAGGCAAAGATGAGAATAGCAACTAGTTCAAAAGATTATTGTAAGGATTACAGGAGATAGTGAGCCCATTTAACAAAATGCCTGCCCCACAGTAAATGTACCAAAAAAAAAAAAAAAAACCCTTTTCTATTTTCCGAATACATTAAATTTTAATACCCTTTAAAAATTAAATTGATTGATTCTCTCAATTGATTATTTATCTTGGTGTCAGACAGTCTAAAATGGAGAATTATGGTCCTTGTCTGAGTAAATCAAGTAAATATATCCTTTACACAAATAATCCATTTATTTCAGTTAAATGTATTTTGACACATTTATTAAGCACATTTTCTACAAGAGAAAATCATTAAATGAGTAACTTTTCCAATTCAGGTCATTCGTGTGTGAATTTAAATCAAACCTGTTACTACTAAATATATTAAAACAATATTTTCCTCATATCAAACTGATCAACTATCACATACCCATTAACAGGATCCACCACAATCCCTCTGGGATGGGACATTTCTCCTTCTAAAAGAGTCTTCTTACTCTGAGAAGCTTTTTCCAGCCTGGCCACATTAATGGTCTTCCTATGGCCATCGTTTGTCCAGTAAAGGTTATTTCCAATCCAGTCCACAGCAATGCCTTCCACGTTATCCAGATCTGTAAAAAGAAAAAAAAAAAAAAAAACAACAAGAAAACAACACATTTTACAATAGTGCCCACTGTTATGTTCTAGTTAAAATGTTTAATTCAAAAAGGGATGAATTCTGATTCATAGATTCTTTAAAGTGTGATTTTGGAAAGTGTCATTCCATGGCATATTTTTTTGTTTTATTTTGAATGCCATTTTATGAATGACAGGCCCTATCTCGACACATTTTAAATGAAACAGTGATTGGCAGGAAAACAGGAAAATATAAGGGATGACACAGCAAAGGGAGAAAGTTCTCAGAACATAAATAGAGTGATACAGACTATTTAGAAAAAAAAAAAATCGGGTAGTATGAACAAGTACTATGCTCAAAAGTAAGCATTTAGAAATTTACAATATGTAATCTGAGTAATCAAAATAATAGGAATGCTCTCTTGCTAAGAGATGAACAGGTCCAGCAGAAGCACACCTTTGAAAGCCCTGAACAGGTTTTCATTATGGAACTGCATGAACAGTGAATCCCAAAGAAACACTGAAATCATTCTCTATATTCTATTATTTTATTCTACTAAATTTATTTATTCTATCTCTACTCAGAGATACTCTATATTCTATTATTCTAAATAAAATCTTATTTTTAAAAGGATCTATTCAGACCTCTGTAAAATACAGGCAGTAGTAATTCAAAGGAATGTTATAAATATATAACCTTATAGGAGTTCAACTAATTCAAACCCTCCACAGAAAGGAAAATGCCAACACTTTAAAGTGAAGGGTTATCATTTATTATCACACAAGAAGTGGTAGAATTGGAACAAAAATCCAAGTCAGATGATCCCCAGTACAGAGATCTTTAAAACTGTAATATTCCTGGGTTGAGACCTACCCTCACTTTTCGCCATTTGATGAACAACCTTCCAAACTGTCCACAGCATCATAAAGGTATTTCCATTTCTCTATTGCTTAAGAAATTACTGTGAACTCCTTCTCTTCTTTCAAAACCAAGGAAGCCTTTGTCTCTTTCCTTCCCAGGGATGAGGTAGAGAATGGGAGCTTACTGGACAAAGCTGATTGACATGCTACGGGCATATCTCCCTGACACTCCCTCACATGCACAGGTAATAAATATTTACTATTATTCTATTTTTTAATCATGACCTTCCTGGCCTTGGAGAAAAATAAAATTTCTTTGATGACCCTTTCTGAGTCATCAGCATGTGCCCTGACTCAGGATAGCTAATACAATGTGCGATTTGATCTGACTGAAAATCCCATTATAGTGAATCAGATATGTTCTCAATTTCACTAAGCTATCTGCTTCATTACCATCCGGTATGAGTCATTTTCACAGGTTAATTGTGTCTATGCTTAGAAAAAAAGTTTAATTTTGTCTTTACTTTATTGACACTTAATTTTACTGAGCACTTTCCTGCTCTGACATAATGGAAAAATAATAGCTGTTTATTCTTTTTCCTTTATATTTATTAATAGTCTGTGGCTGATTTTTATCTTGTTAGTCAGTTTTCAAAAATTGTATTACATTTGAAATCTACTCCAGCATGAATACTTCCATCTTCAACAGACCTCTTATTTTTATAACTTTCCCTTTTAAAATCTAACTTGACTCTTCTTATTTGCAATACTATGTGGATTGAAATTTTGCTTCTGACACTTGGGTAAGCAACTCAGTCATTTTGATCTTTAATTTCTCCACTCGTTAAGTGAAGTTGATCACAGCACCTACACCACAGGGTGATAACAAGGGGTAACTTAGCTACTGTATGGAAAGCACTTAGCATACTGCTAGCAATACTGTTAATTCTCAAAATATGTTAGCTTTTAATAATCTATCAGGATTAAAAAAATCCTACATATGCCCTGGCTCTTTTATTTATGAGTGTTACTTGATAGAAATATTCCTCATATTTTTCTCTCTGAAAATGATTTTATAATAAAATTTCCTTGAATTTTGACCAGTGGCCAACTTTACCTAGAAATAGTATATGTAGAGTGAGTAAGAGTGAAATGGAATTGAATTCCAAAATCGGGAGGATTCTGTCCCTAATTATATTGTTTGTTTTTTCTTTGGAAAATGAAATGCTTGAACGGCATAAAGGAGTGACTAGGATCACTAGTTCTGAAATTACAAGGCCTAGCCTCTGCCACTCACCATATCTCTGAGTGAATTACTTAACCTTTCTTTCTTCAATTTCCTAATCTTTAAAATGGGTGTGATGATAGTGATTAACTCACAGGATTGTTTTAGGATTAAAGGAATGAATATACGTAAAATACTTAAAATAATGGTTGGCATATGGTAAATGTTACATAAATATTATTAGTATTATTATCACTAATATCATTACCATTATAATTTTCCCTTTTGCAACCTCTATAGTCTATTAAGATAGCAATGAAACAATTAGCTTAGTGGTTCTTTTTAAAGATTTATTTATTTGAGAGAGAGAAAGAGAGCACACATAGGGGGTGGGCAGAGGGCAAAGAAGACAGAGAATCTCAAGTAGACTCCTGCTTAACACTGAGCCCCAAGCGGAGGCCAGTCTCACAACCCTGAGATTATGACCTGAGCCAAAATCAAGACTTAAGACACTTAACTGACTGAGCCACCCAGACACCCCTAGCCTAGTATTTTTTAGCTCTATGTGTGTGTGTGTGTGTGTGTGTGTGTGTTTTGTTTATTTGTTTTCCACTGTGGGAAGAATAAGCTTGAATACAATTCAAAAATAAAGAAACTCATAAAATAGTCTATGTGCAAATTGGGAATCTTTCTAGGCTATCTTTAACAAGGTATGGAGGGATTTCTTCTCTGGTAGGACAAAGACTGAATAATTAGAGAATCCCTTTTCAACAACTATACATTGGTAAGAAAAGTCTTTTGACTTTGTACCATATGGTACCTGCCTTTAATGAGCCTATGATTGATGGAACACTAAGACATAGAACATTGGTATTATGCACATTTGATTTTTTCTAATTGAAGAAAGTTTGGTTGGAGCCTGTGTGCGGTAGACTATTAGGGACTCTATGACCAAATCCTTCAACCAGGTGGTCAGGACATATGAAAATTGATGTCACTCAAATTTCAAACAAGCACAGATGATTACAGAGGTATGGATTCCCAGCTTGAGAAAACACATGACTTCAAATAGAGGAAAGGTATTTGATAAAGTTGGTAAAACTTGCTAGAGTAGTTTGCTTTGATATCTTTGAGTAGAGTTCAAGTATTTTACATTCCAAAATCAACATTCACTACTATATTATTAGTAGTAGTATATAACTAATAGCAAACAAAGATTATAAATGTGTTTTTTTTTAATCTGGCAAAATTGCCCTTAAGTTTAACATATTATACTCATTTTCATTTATCAGTAGGGAAGGACTCTTAACATGTTTGTACTCCTTCAAACAAAAGAAAGAAAAGAGAAAGAAAAAAATTGCAGTAGATAATGTTTTCTTGTAATTTTTAAAAAGATTTTATTTATTTATTTAACAGAGAGGGAGAGATCTCAAGTGGGTAGAGAGGCATGCAGAGAGAGAGGAGGAAGCCAGCTCCACACTGAGTGGGGAGCCCAATGCAGGGCTCGATCCCAGGACCCTGAGATCATGACCTGAGTCAAAGGCAGAGGCTTAAACCACTGAGCCACCCAGGTGCCCTTCTTGTAATTTTTTAATTAATATATTTACATGTTCCATTCTAAGACAGAATAGAGACATTTATCTATATACTTCAGATTAAAAACAGACTTTTATTTTAAATTTTTTTTTCAGTGTTCAAAAAAAACAAAACAAACAAAAAAAAACAAACAGACTTTTTAATGAACTCTGTTGAAAGTTTAACATTAACATATTGTTTTGGCTCAAATTATCAAACTTTTCATTATTTTTCCTTTGTAAATTCTATTCTGGTATTTTAAGAATAACTTTTATAAATGGGCATAGTAAATGAGTAGTATGCTAAAATACACATACACGTATATCATCAAAAGCTAGATTTTTCCAGAGTGGTTGCACCAGCTTGCATTCCCACCAACAGTGCAGGAGGATGAAAACAGCATGGAGGTCCTCAAAATGTTGAAAATAGAGCTACCCTATGACCCAGCAATTGCACTACTGGGTATTTACCCTAAAGATACAAACGTAGTGATCCGAAGGGGCACGTGCACCCAAATGTTTATAGCAGCAATGTCCACAATAGCCAAACTATGGAAAGAACCTAGATGTCCATCAACAGATGAATGGATAAAGAAGATGTGGTCTATATACACAATGGAATACTATGCAGCCATCAAAAGAAATGAAATCTTGCCATTTGCGACGACGTGGATGGAACTAGAGGGTATCATGCTTAGCGAAATAAGTCAATCGGAGAAAGACAACTATCATATGATCTCCCTGATATGAGGAAGTGGAGATGCAACATGGGGGGTTAAAGGGGTAGGAGAAGAATAAATGAAACAAGATGGGATTGGGAGGGAGACAAACCATAAATGACTCTCATCTCACAAAACAAACTGAGGGTTGCTGGGGGAGGGGGGTTGGGAGAAGAGGGGTGGGGTTATGGACATTGGGGAGGGCATGTGCTATGGTGAGTGCTGTGAAGTGTGTAAACCTGGCGATTCACAAACCTGTACCCCTGGGGATAAAAATATACTACATGTTTATAAAAAAAAAAAAAAAAGAAAAAAGAAAAAAAGCTAGATTTTTCACTTAAGTGAAAAATTCTTTAAGATAGCAATTTGTTATAAGTGATATTTACCAATTGGGAAAGGAGGATGAATAAGAGATAATAGAATTTATGTAAATTAAAGAGAATAATTATGTGGATTTAAAATAAATAAGTAATTAGAAAAGCTATTTAAATTAATTTAATATCTAGGACCAGATAAAATAAGCATTTTAAAAAGAGTAGAGAAAGATATACTTCCAAAACATCATTACAGGTCTGATTTGTATTATACATTTTATGAAACAGAAGATTAAAGTTTTA